CCTCCTTCTCCTCCTCCGCTTCTCCTTCCTCCTCCTCCTCCTCTTTTTCTTCTTCCTCCTCCTCCTCCTCCTCTTCTTCTTCGTCCTCCTACTTCTCTTCGTCTTCCTTCTTCTCCTCCTCCTCCTCCTCTTCGTCTTCCTCCGTCTCCTTCTCCTCCTCCACTTCGACCTCTTCCCTCTCCTTCTTTTCCTTGTCCATCTCCACCTTCGCCTCCTCTTCTTTTTCTTCTTCCTCCTTCGTCCTCCTCTTCTTCGTCCTCCTCTTCGTCTTCCTCCTCCTCCTCCTCCTTCTCTTTCTCTTCTTCCTCCTCCTCCTCCGACTTCGCCTCCACCTTCTTGAGGCTTTTGTGCTTCTTCCTCATTTTCTTCTTCCCCCTTCTCGTCCTCGTCCTCCTCCTCTTCTTCTTCCTCTCTCCCTCCTCCTCCTTTGTCTCCTCCTCTTTCTCTTCTACCTCCTCTTCCTTCTCTTCTTCGTCCTCCTCCTGTTCTCCCTCCTCGGCGCCCTTCTTCTCCTCCTCCATCTCCGACTCCGCGTCCGCCTCCCCCTCCATTGCCGCATCCACCTCCATTACCGCGGTCGCCTCCATTGCCGCCACCGCTTGCCCCATCGCCGCCGCCGCTTTGTTGATCGACGCCACCTCCGCCTCCCCGTTCTCTTCTTCGTCCTCCTCCTCCTCACCCTCCACCTCCTCCTCTTCCCTTCCTCGTCGTCGTCCTCCTCCATGGGGGGTAATGATCGGTGGGAAATGGGGGAAGTGGGTTGGGGACTCGGGGAGTACGTAGGGGTTAAACATGGGGGAAAAGGTTCGGGGAAGGGTCGGGGGGGGATGGCGGTGAAGACCCCCCTTTGACGTTTCTTTGTTTTTTGTTTTCAAAAAAGAAAGTGGGGGCGAGGGTCGGGGAAAAAGTCGCGAGGGGCGGGGGGAATGTACGTCGGTGAGACTCGGGCGACGGCCTGGGTAGGTGCCGCGAGGGTTGGGCAAGAGCAGAGAGGGAGGGAAGAAGGGGGTTAAACCCGGTAAAGGGGGTCGGGGAGGGGTTAAGGGTGCGGGGGGGCGGAGGGCGCCGACCCCCTTTTTGACGTTTTTTGTTTTTTCCTGTTCTTTTTAAAAAAACGAGGGTTAGGGGAAAGAGCCTCGAGGGGCAGGGGGAATGTAGGTCGGGGAGGTTTGGGCGAGGGTCGGGGAGGGTTCCGCATCTGGTCTGGGAAGGGCGAGGAGGGAAGGGAGATGGGGCTGAAGATCGGGGGTGAAAGGGGGAAAGGGGGTCGGTGTGGGAGGGAAGATGGGGGTAAAGATCGGGCTAAGAGGGATGGGGAACGGGGAAGGGGGGAAAGTGCGGGGGGTAGAGGTCGGGCAATAGCAGGGCGTTTTTTCTTTTTTCTTTTTCGTTTTTCCTTTTTACACATCAATCAATCAGTTAATCAAACCAACCAGCCAATCGATCAATCACTTGAACAAGCGATCAAGATGACTGATTGGTTGGCTGGTTGGTTTGATTAATTGATTGATTGATTGATTGATTGATTGATTGATTGATTCCCGGAAGCTCGGGGAGGTAGGGATGACGGGGGGTGAAGATCGGGGGGGGAAGGGGGGAAGGGGGTCGTCGAGAAAGTGGGGTTGACGGTTTTTACTTATGTTTTTAATGTTTATTCTCAAAAGAATATGGGGGCGAGAAGTTTCGGGGTTAACATGTGGGGAAAGGGGGAAAGGTTCAAGCGTGGGTCGGGAGGGGAATGAACGTCGGGGGGGCGCTCGGGCGAGGGGAAAGTGGGTTGGGGAGGAAGGTAGGGGCGGGGTAAAATGGGAAAGTGAGTTGAGGAGAAGGTAGCGGCGGGGGTAAAGGGAAAGTAGGAGGGGGACTTATTTTAAAAAAGAATGTGGGGGCGAGAAGTTTCGGGGTTAACATGGGGGGAAACGGGGAAAGGTTCAAGCATGGGTCAGGGAGGGGAATGGACGTCGGGAGGGGGTTGGGCCGAGGGGACAGTGGGTTGGGGAGAAGGTACGGGCGGGGGTAAAGGTGGAAAGTAGGAGTGGAAAGGGGGAAAGTGGTTTTGGAT